ATGAAAGTTCTACAGAAAGTAGCAACGGGTCCTGAGAAATGTCGCTAAGTTTGTCGCTAGGCGCTATTTGGAAAAAAAGTCGTTGAGGGGGGTCAAAAAGTCGTTAGGAACAGTGACAAAGTCGCCGAGTTGGCAACACTGGGATTGTTCAGTCTGATGTTTTCTGTCATCATGTTGCAATGCGTTTCCTTGAGCCAGATCGGTGTAATTGTTTTTGTTGATGTACTCACTCACCTTTTGTTCTGTGGTTGCTTGTAAAGGTAAAAATGACAGCTCTTCCTTTGAATCTGCTTTGTCAAATTGAGCCACTGCTGACTCCATTACCTCAGCTTTGGCCATGGCTGCATCAGCTTCCTTTTGCAGGTTTATCACGTCGAGAGTTGCTTCTAGACTAGCCTTTTCTACTTTAATGCTCATCTCCTTTTCAGCGTAGGCTAACCTGGCCTTGGCTGCCTGTGCTTCTGCTTGTGCCCGCGCCACTGCCATGCTGGCTCGGCTCGAGGCTGATGACCGGCTTGAACATGCTGCTGATGATCTAACGGTCAGTCTTCCTGAGGGTTTTGAAGACCTTCTGGAATGATTTGACTGTGTTTCCTCATTTTGACCTTCTGAGTCTCCTTTCTCCATAGCTAAATAGAACACCACTCGAATCCCTCGCCGAATGGTATGATTTCACTGTACTGTTGCACCCAATGTGACCCCGTGTCCTATATTGAGATTCACAGCCAGCTAAACTCTTTCTTGCATTGCTCTCCTCCAATGAACAGGCACGTGTTGTATTTGGACGGAATTTAATGCAACAAAGTGTGAAACTGAAATGATACAAAATACAGAAAAAATAATCTTAGTGTACAGCACAGATGATCAATTTAAACAAACATCCTTAGCATAGGTGCACTAAAGGATTCATCTCAACAACATGTTAACATTGCTTCCTATCAGATCCTCAATCTATAAAACATGCTAAGTAACTCAACTCATTCCCAATAATATCTTAAATCCTGTGTAAACTTAATATACAGAGAAAAACTCACTCATATTTCCACTCAAAGGGATGAAATAGAGCGGATGGCTTCAGATTGCTGAACAGATGGTTTTGCTTCTCGCATATGGGAAACTTACTGACACACTTCTTCTACACACTGGCTCAACATAGCAACTGTTCAAACCTGCGCCCCCTACTGGCCAGGAAGAAAACATGAACCTAAACTGGTTCCAATACAGGAGCGCTATCGGCCGATTACGATCAAATTCCGATCCATCGGTGCATCCCTAGCTAGGGCTATGTGATATGGCCTAAAATTAATATCAGGATATATTGAGAATTTCACCTTGATAACGATAAATGGACGACAACTACAGGTATGTACAGAAACAAAAGTTGTCCACTAGATGGGGCTGTCACATGTATTACGTTGAGTCACATTTTTACATGACTCAAGGTGGTACAGCTTCTTAAAGGGACATGAACGTTGCCAACCTGCACACATCTTTTCATTTTTGTACTATCATATTTATTGACATGGGAAAAATGATCATGATAAGAGTCAGAAATTTCAATAACGATACATTTTCGATTTATTGCCCAGCCCTACTCCCTGCATTGTTCCAGAAGTGCAGCGGTGTGTTTTCCATGGCTTTAATCCTGGCAGTGGAGCGGAACAACATCACATCATATGACATCAAACAGCAAAATCAAACGTGATTTCTTTGTTTTTGGTTTAATGGCGGATGGCATAACATCGAGGGATTTTGTGATCTTGTGAGTTAAGCAAGGAAAGTGGCAGAGAAGAGGCTCCACGGCTGAGATCTTCCCGGTGTGTACTGGCAAGCAACGAATGTTGCGAGTAAAGCTTTCTGCTGGTGCTTCTAGTGTGAAGTAGGTGTAACGGAATTGAAGTGATGTATCTATCTAAAGTTGTATTTTCATACACTGTAGGTAGTTCACTTTTTATAAACAGAAGAATAGGCTGTTTTTATCATCAGGGAGTTTAATTAAACACTCTGTATTGACTTTGAGACAAGAAAAGAGAGAGAGATGGGATCGTTTGAGAATCTTTAATTTCTGAATTATAAATTCTAAACAATCTACCAGGACTACTCTGTGATGGATGAGAATGGATTCGGATGTTGTGTTGGTGCATGTGTGTGTGTCTGGTTCAGATTCTCTAGGCTGACGTCAATGAATCTGGTCGTCTTTGTTATGACTAGATATCACGAGGCTTATAAAGTGATGACATGAGCCGCTATTTTGCCGTGTACGTACCCAGTGGGGGTCTCCCAGGTAGATCAGGAAATGCCAGGTCTGGAGACCTCGGATGTACGCTGGAGCTGTCGGTGCAGCGATCACAACGTTTCAAAGCCCGTCTGGAGGGTCGACCCCGGTACCGTTCGGCGGCGTTGGCAGGTGCTCTTATTTTGAAAGGATGTCGTCTGGTTGTTAAACGACGAAAATCTCCCGCTTCACATTTCTTAGTTTAAAGAAGAAAACACATCTGGCCAGGCTGCGCTTTTCTTAAGGATGACGGTGAATAGAACTGAAGTCAAAATGGAACTAACTTAAAAATGGCGTTGCCTTGTTTTATATCTCTGAATTGTTGATAAGTTGGAGTAAAGTGGATTGGACACTTGAAGTCAACACCAGATTCTCCTGCGGCAGCCGAAAGCTCTGATTGGTTGGAACAATGTGTCATGCGTTTCTATGGAGATGAGGATCAGTATGTCTGTGCCGTAGTCCTGTTTTCATTAAACATAATTCATGACATATTTATTTCACAGATCATTCACTTGATTATTGTTGATCAACATCTGTTGTGCTTAATAATTTTAATCACAAATAAAGTACTTTGATTAAGTAAAGTTTCTTCTTCTCCTTCGGACTCTTCTCCTGGAATGTAAACAGTCTGAGGAACACCCGACCTTGGTTTTTCTACACGGGTGTTATTGTGCACAGGGGGCAGCTGTATGGAGTTGAAAACCATGAACTTCATAACCTTACATAGGTTAGTGTCTGAGTTATACTTAAAATTCAATTTAGGACAGGATAATATCTTGAGATTTTTTTAAATATCGATATGTTTTCAAGCAAGACACAAGGTGACCCTGTAATGTTTATATCAGTATAAATTTACAACTAATACATTTCTAGATTTGGCAGGCGTCGTTCCCTCTGATGCTTCACCGTCTCTGATTGTAAGTGGCCACCATGCGTATTCTTATGTGGCCAGTCGATCTTTTGCTCACAAACCTTACAGAAAAGTTGTTTTCGACATTAATAAATATAGTAATATTTCAACCTAAACTTTGAATTTAGCTTTGCAGGTTTCAAAGGCCAAGCTCACTGAAAACCATTTTACTTGTTCTTTTTTTTTAAATATGATCAGTTACTCTGAGTTTCACATGTAGATTGAATGTGAAAATAGTTTTCTACCCTGCATTAGCCGCTAATAGAAAATAGACGATTATAAAAAAAATGGCAATTACACACCATAATGTCAAGCTAGCATGCTGTGTTGGTTTGGCATCCAGGAGAGACCAGAGCATCTCTCGGCTAGTAGAAGCTAACTGTTAGCATTAGCAACTCCACCACACAGCATAACTCCTTCAGGTTTGTATTATTTTTGGAGATAAAACATCAGCGTCGCAGAGCAAACAGTCAGTGGTAGAGTGGTTTTGCTGTTAGCCAATCAGAGGTGAGATGCCCATATATCACAAGTAAAATTCCAAATCCGTCCTCTGAAGCTCACCTCTAATCTGGCTCACTTCTAGTTCCTGAAACAGGTGCACCAGAGCTTTTTTTTTCCCCACTGAGGTTGACTCTGAGGCATTCATTTATACTAGAGACAGCTGCAAAATGAGAGTACCTGGGCTTTACATTTGTGGCGGATTTTTGTATTTCAGTGAGCATTTTGCTATTTCTGATAGGTTTTCTTTTTCCTGTTTGTGTGTGGAGATGGGCCGAACCCCTCCACATAACCAGGCATCAGCAACGATGGCCTACAACAGCCAAAATACCTCAAAAACCATCATGTATCTTTCTGTAATCGCTGATCTGGGTGAAAACTGTGCAATCCAAGCCATGTTTTCCTTCATAAATACAACAACTCCGAGCTGCGTGTCCCACCTGAGAGTAATCCGATGTGTAGTGGGTTGATTAACATCTGAGCAAGAAGAAAATATATTTTAAGTGATACATGATGCACCCCTACATGGAATTAAAATTACTTTACTTGGATTTTAAATATATTATTAATAAAAGTGTCTGTGTGACATTTGAGACATCTAGCCTAAACTACTAACTTTTTTGTAAATACTTCCCAGAAAAAAAATCAAGATAAATGTGATTTGTCGGAATTTTTCTAAAAACTATCGATATGTTTTTCAATGTCACCCAGCCCTATTTCCACTTTTTAAATGCAGTTAAAAAGCTGTGTTATACAGAGGAATTTGCTTTAAAATGACATTTTAAAAACTCTTTTAAAATAGAACCACTATTTGTACAGCCATCTTTAATAGGTTCCCTAAATTTTCTCAGAGATATGACTTAAGATGGAGTGAAAGCCCCGAGCCTTGCCAAATGTACCCCAATGGGACGCTGCACACATCAAGCCAAATGAAATCCTAAGATCTGGCAGAAAGGTGGAGCTTTCACCATCCATCGCTCCTTTGTAATAAATTAAAGAACTCGTTTATCACTCTACAAACTCCCTGCAGCAGTACATTAAAAATTAAATCTTGTCTCTACCTGACCTCTGTGTTGTTATCAAGATGAAGGTAATGGCCATGGTGGTATTTTCCCCGTGATGTATTTGTGGAGGGAAGAGAAGAATTGAAGGCATGTGTTTCATTCATTTAAAAAACTTTAGCCATTCCATATTCTTGAATTCGTTGGTGTGCTTTTTTTTTTTTTTGATATTCAGGGCTTATTTTAATTTTAAATGATCACCAGAAGATGATTTGTGTCTTCTGTTTTGTCCCAAATATTTCTTTTTCGCTCACAGAGGAGGGAGAGCCGGGGGGAAGTGAAGAACCATTCGTTGCTCCCGCAGGACTTGCCATCCCACCTGATGTGGAACTAGTAAGTGCTTAATTTTCTGCTGCCTCACAGATGTTGACCCCCTATTGTTACAGAGATATTCAGTATTTATGAACACTCTGTTTCTTTCAACTAGAGGTGTGATGGTGGTACACTTGTCATGTTTCAGTATCTGCTCCAGTTTTCAAATCAGTTACAGCAGACAAAATGATGAATGCTGATCCATAAAGGGCAAGCTGCAGAAAGGCTGATCACAACACTTTTTAAAAATGAAGTGCTTGCCAACTAATCATATTCACAAGATGGATTGATGTCAGAGCAGCAGCCGTGAAACAAAACATAAAGGTGCAGAGTAGAGAAATAATCTGTGATCCTGGTCCAAATTAGTCGACTAAAGGCTTGATCAAGATGAGATTTGTTCAGAAAGCAATGAAATATACTTGGTTTTTTTCTATACTGCCATTGAAACATAAACAGCTGTAGTAATTCACATTATCTCACCTGTTTGCCTAATCAAATCCAGTAGGTGGCAAATTTTGTGGTTCAACAGGCAAACGCTGATTTATTTTTATATATTTTTTAATCTGCTCAGCTTCCAGCAGCAGCTTGTCTTGTGACGTCTGGGTGACAGTCTAATCAATAGCTACTGAAGGCCTCAGCACATGAAGTGAAACATCTGTTTCTTTTTGTTTAGTGGAAATTTTCTTGCTTGATTGGATAGCCTTTACCAGTTTTACATCACAGTGCACGGACCTTATGTGTCAGACTTTAACGTTAAAAACCCTTCAATGTTTTGGGCTTTATGTTGACATAGCATCCAAATAAAAAAACACAGTATGCCTCAGCTGAAATATTTAAACCAATGTTGCTTTGTTCTTTCTTGTGTCTGCAAATAGAACCCCCTCGACTCCATATAGCTGCAGCTTTCTTATGCATGAGAAGAGAAGCAACATTTATTTCTGTTGTAAAAATGTCTGTGTGTGTGTGGAAGTTCAGGCTGTTGTTTTAAATCTGTTTTATACGTTAAGGTGCATTTCTCAATGGGGAATTTGCTAATGTTGTGTTATTTAATGTCTTTTGGACTTGCAACACTATCAAAAAGTCATTTTCACCAAAATGTTACTGTTTATAAATTTGTTAGACAGCAAAATAACAATTGTAGCATAAGTCCAACAATGGGTTTGCCATGCATCACTGATATTTAAATGACTTTCAACCAAATCAGCAAACCTTTTACTTTGATGTTCATTCTGAGGTTGTCTTTTCTCAACTATATAAAAAAATATAAATTTTCTTTATGTGGTATGTGTTAATGTTCATAATTAAACAGATTGTTAATGATTCACAATACAATAATTATATATTTTTGTCTGATCGTGTGATCATTGTGTCAGCATGAATAGGAGGTGATTGAACTCATAATGCCTAGAGAGGTAAAGCACCTGAAGCAGCTCAAGTTCTACTCTTAATTTTTCATCACAAAATAAAGTCTCCAGTGGTGCTATGGTTTTCTCATTAGGCAGGTAATAATTAACGACAAAGACTATATAAAATAACTCTAATTATTGACAACAGTAACGGTAATTAATTAATGACTATTATTAACCATTGAACAGATTTTAATCAAAATCATACAAAGTAATCACTGGATGGATTAAACTTTCAGAAAATAATTATTACAAATAGAGGTACAATTGATTCATTTTTGTAGTCAGCCCAGTTCAACATGGCAGCCATACCCAACCACAATTTTGAACTCACAAAAAAGTCACTAAAAATCAACGAATCTCACGTATAAGTATAGTGTGACGTGGAAGTAGAGGCCGACCGATAAATCGGGCCGATATATTACATTTTTTCTATATCAGCCATCGGCTGAAATTGTTTATAAGAGCCGATAAAAAATAAATAAATCAGTCACCTGTATGGCCAACTGCTGCCACTACTAGAATAAAAAAGGACCCAAAGGACCCCAACACACCGATTTTATAAATGTTTTGAGTTTGTTTTTTGTTTGAAGTTCAATAAATATTAAGAGGTTTATTTTCTTAATTTATATTGCACATAGTGAGTGTTCAGTTGTCTTTCACAATCAATGTGCTGCTAAAATGTGTATATATATATATATATATATATATATATATATATATATATATATATATATGTATACATATATATATGTATAAAATCGGCCTTAATAATCGGCTTAGATGTCGGCCATCTGCAACAAAATCCTTTAAAAATCCTTATCGTGTCAGCTTACACAAAAACCCATATTAGTCGGCCTCTACATGGCAGTAACTGAGAGGCATTCCCAACAAATACTGAGTGGTTATGCTATTTTCTTACTAAACCAACCAACAGGTTCCACAATATTTTATAAAATATTCCTGTTGGCACTATTGAGATGTCATTTATCTTAAATATGAGTTATTTTCGTTAGCCTGAATTTCCACCTGGAAATAAAACTATTAATTTCAATGAAGCTCCGCCCACACCTGTTCCGACAAAACATGCCTTCACCAGTGCAAGCCTGCTGTTGAATTGGTCTTGGCGGTACAGAGGTTTAAGCACCTGCCTTTTGTCCCATTTTGCCATGAGCGGTTTGACTCCCAGTGTCGGCAGTCATTTATTTAACCAGCTGAAGCAGATTTCATTTATGTATATTTTAGTTTTATTGATTATTTTATTCAAAATATTTTGTGTCTCTAAAGATCTTTCAATTTGGTAATTTTCAAGCAGAATTTTAATTAATACTCTGCTCACATCACATGGACTCGCATTGCCTAAATAAAGAAAGTAAAAAAACAAAACAGACCAGTCCTTAAATTTTAAACAATATACAAATAAAGTGTTGAAAACATCATACTGGCTAGTGTGGCTAAAAAGAAGAATCAAAGTTACCGCTGCAACCGGGAGGCGAACCAGTGCAAAACTACATTCAGTCCTGTCATTCTAACTACCGGACCACTGAGTCTGTTACTAAACAGTAGTCGTCTAAGACATGTATCCTGAGCTGGCCATCACATGTGTCTTTGTAGTTGGAATGCATTGTTTTTATGACGGTGTTTTGTCCCAAATTCTTAAGTAATTTGTCAGAATATCCACGGAATATCCAGGTTTTAGAACCGAGACCAGACCAGGTTCTGGGGCAGAAGAAATGCCTGATGATGCAAGTGGCTACTTTCTTCTGGATGTAGGAAAAATCTTTACATCTATATTGAAGCTTGGGCAGGAAACAGGCTTGGGGGGTTTTCTCATGAGGAAATGACATTATAACATGGGTAAAAGCTCCAAAAAAGGATTTTCAGTCACGTTTTAACTAAACTTCTTATACAGTAAACATATTTAAAATTTTGTTTTTAATATTGTCATATTCAAATCTATATGAATGCATTTGTGATCAAATAAATTACCAAAAGAATAAAATAACATTTTAGACTCAGTTTACTGGTGAGTTGAGCTTTTTAGAACATGCCTGTGGACACCTCATGTGATTCCTGGGTCACCAGGAGGTGTAGAGCAATGGCAAATGTCTGTTTGGCTTTTCCATCAAATTCAACATTTAGAATCTGTCAAGCCCATGAACGAACGAGGTTGCGCCAATTAGCCATTATTGTAAAGAATAAACTCTTCACCTTTTTGTGCACATTACGTTTTAATAAAAGCATTAACATCATAAGTGGTCCATATGGAGTTGGTTCAAATGTAAATGTGCTGGAGTCAGCTATGTGCATTAAAACAGAATCAACTATTCTATAGCAGTTCTGAAGTCTAATAAATTAGTTATGATCATTACTAATGACCAGACAAGAAGCAAATATTACTTTGGTAACTTTTTTATTTCTATTGAATAGTTTATAATGTGTTGCTCTCTTCTGTTCTACAAAGGTTGTTGTACACATATATATGTGGATGTGTATGTGCATATGTATGCCTACATATATGCATATAGAGCAGAGGAAAGCAGTGCTTTATATATTTAAAAGGACAACAATGTCACATGTGTGAGTGTACAAATAAAGATTATACATTGTAGTAGGTAGAAGGATGCTTGGGGCGGGGGTCATTTTACATTTTCTTTTAGTTTGGTGCCTTATAGAAAATAAATATATAATAAATGTCCTATGAAGCAGAATTTTACAGTCAAATTGGGTTAATCTTTGATAAAAACCCTAACTGAAGGTAATAAAATGACTTTGCCAGTTGGCATTAAGGAGTAGCACTGCTCGTGACAAGGTCAGACAACATTAGTATGCACAGGCATTGAAATGCAACACAGCTAATCTCTTAGCTGCGCTGTTTGTGAATTAGCATGAGCTAGATGGAGTTTCTTGTGTACTACGTATGAAATAAGCTTTTCCCATAAACACCAGCTTCTTAAACAGAGATAAAAAAGAAAGGTCCTTGTGTTGAAAAAGTCCTTTGCAGTTTAAAAGACGGATTATCCATTTGTGTTGGACGTTGGTATCCTTTTAGCCAGTGCCATGACAAATATTTATTGACTTTTATCTTGATGAGATTTGTGTAATCTTTGGAAGATATCTTCACTTCTCTGTACACTCTACGTAATTACTATAGTTAATCATTTTAAGCACACGAGGTAAAAATCATGGATGAATTATGGACCGTTTGGGGTTCTAGTGTTTTCTACCTCCCGTGTCTTTTCAGAATTAATGTCACCACATGGCTTGTGTCCTTAGTGTGAATAAGCTGTACAGTGCATCTTACTGGGCTTTAGCTCTTATTTAAAGTACTACAGATTTTTTTCCCAGATGTCCAATGTATTTTTACAAGTCTTGTATTGGTAAAAAGAGAAAAACAGTAATATTTATTTATTTATAATATATAATGATGTTTCTTTTTTTTTTATTTCTCCTCCTTTAGCCTGCCACTGTCAAGACCCACAACATCATTGAGAGGACAGCCAAATTTGTGCGTCAGCAGGGGGCTCAGTTTGAAATAGTGCTAAAAGCAAAGCAAGCCGGGAACTCCCAGTTTGACTTTCTCCGTTTTGACCATTACTTAAACCCATATTACAAACACATCCTGCGGGCCATGAAGGAAGGTCGATACAACCTTGGTTCTGTCAACAAACAAGAGCTGTCACAGGGTAAGTTTCTTAAAGTCTTCACTGAATCCACAGTCCGTAAACACGCTGGTTAACACCGTCTCTGAGTTGTCACCCAATGTTATTGTAACACACATAGCTATAAAAATATTTGCCTCACAGATTTCTGCTGGTCTTCATTTTACCAGGATGACCTGAAAGCTCCTCTTACGGGGCCAAAGGAGTAACTAATTCTGCAATGGCTCGGTGTAGGTTTGGGCGGTATCTAAATTTGAATACTTTCCAGCTTCCTTTGCATTTGAGCACGGTGTACGTTATTACTGGGACCAATAAAAAAATGATGACGTAAGCCTCAAGTGGAGTTATCAAACTGTTGGTTTGAACCTTCACCGTTCAGAAACTGAGTAACAAACCCCATTACTAAACCAATAGCTACATAACACACATAATATTAACCGCTTAAAAAAGGCAACTTATAAAAATAATTTTTGCCTGAAAACCAGCATGTTTACCAATTCCAGCTTCAGCATAGGATGCTGTGGACCGACCGCTGAAAACCCACTTCAATTGGCTCATGGCACTGACACTTGAGTACTTTGGGGCTAGTCGCGACATCTGAGGAAGGCTGGCAGCTTATTTTCCATCAGAAAAACACATTGTCGTCTCTTTAAATACAGGCTTCAAACAGTAGGCTGTTATTTCAGCTCTGTCTAACTCATGTGCTGAGGGGTTGGGTTGGGCATCGATTGGAACCGGGGACTAACTCTGTTTTTCCTGGAATAATTTATAAAGTTTTTTTTTTAATTTAGATTCCTAGCTTCGATTCCTATGCTGCCTACGGAAAAAGAATCTGCAGCCGTTCTCCATGAAAAAAATAACGCTTTTGGGAGCAGCTGATCATACCAGCTGTCTGTCACTACTACTTTGCAGCCTGCAGAGCCCTGTGTGCAGCATAGAGTCCCTGCTCTTCCCTCACACCCAGCACGCAGTGGCAAAAATGTAAATAAATGCGTCTGCTGGACCTTTAGTCCATGATGTAAAGTTTGCATCCTACAGTGAAAAATACGGCACAGAAGAAGCTCGTTAAAATGCGTCAGCACAGTTGATTTAATACAACATTTAAAGAACAAATTCCGAGCGGTCTGAAGTGAGTTTGGCTCACTGCTGAAATAAAAACACACTAAGCATCAACACTCAAACGCAGCCACTCACCAACACTCATCTGTGTGAGTGTGACTGTCAGAAGGCTGAGCAATAACCTCATAAAATCGTCCTGCTAGATCTTTAGGTTACTGTCGTAACCCCGGTTCTCTGAGTAACATGAGTGAGATGTCTCACTATGGGATACGCCCCTCCGCGGATTCCTCAGAAGCACTTATCTCAATACGCCAATCCTGATTGGCCAGTGACCGTGACGTACGCGTCCCCCTGCTACTATAAGTAGCAAGCGTCCCAACGTACACACTATTCAAGATAAACACCTCTTCTCGCTTCGCCCAGCAAGAAGGGTTGTCTGGTGAGACATCTCACTCATGTTACTCAGAGAACCGGGGTTACGACAGTAACCTAAAGTTCTCTTTCTTAACATTTGTTTCGATGTCTCACTATGGGATATGGAGACTCCCGTATTGCCAGACAGCTTATCCAGCGATCACCAACCTACAGGGATACGTCTTGGCCCGCCAAAGACCCCACACTCAGAATCGTGTGAGTCATTGCAGGGACCGAAACATCAAGCTTATAGAAGCGTGCAAATGCAAGTGGAGACGCCCAACTTGCTGCAGCACAAATCTCCTGAATTGACAGCCCCCGAAAAAGGGCCCAAGAAGCAGACAGGCCCCTAGTAGACTGGGCCCTGAGCCCAACAGGAGCCTGAATGCCCTGACAGGAGTAAGCCATAGAAATAGCCTCCACAATCCAGTGGGAAAGCCTCTGCTTTGTGACAGGTTTCCCCTTACGAGGCCCACCCCAAGACACAAAAAGCTGGTCCCCCCTGCGAAGGTTCTCCGCCCGATTCACATACCCCTTGAGCGCGCGAATCGGACACAGCTTGTGCCACCGCTCCTCCTCAGGAGAGGAGAAGGGTGGCGGGTAGAAAGCTGTGAGGATAATAGGAGAAAAGGAGCCCACCACCTTAGGCACAAAGGCAGGGTTGGGCTTCAGGGACACCTTCATGTCACCGGGTGCAAACTGGGTGCAGGATGGGTGCACAGAGAGAGCCTGTAAGTCACTAACTCGCTTTGCAGATACCAAAGCCAGGAGTAGCACCACCTTAAGAGACAGGATCTTAAGGTCCAGGCCGTCCATAGGTTCAAATGGAGGCCCGGAGAGGGCCGACAGCACCAAGGACAGATCCCATGAGGGCACCAGGGGTCGAGACACAGGGAGAAGTCTGTGCGCGCCCCTCATGAAGCTACACACCAGGGGGTGTTGACCTGCCAGTTTCTTCCCAAAACCCAAGTGTCGGGCAGAAATGGCTGCTAGGTACACTTTAATGGTGGAGAAAGCCTTCTTCCCATCCAACAAGTCTTGCAGGAAAGACAGAATGACGTTCACTGGGCATTGGAAGGGTGAGACCTCCCTGCCCTGACACCAGGCTTCAAACACCCTCCATTTACAGTCATATAGGGACCTAGTGGAGGGGGCCCTAGCATTCTGAATGGTTCGAATGACTGCCTGGGGCAGCTCTGCTGACACTAGCCCGCACCCCTCAGGAGCCAGGCCCACAGGGCCAGCCGTTCTGGATGAGGGTGGAAGATCGAGCCTCCCGCTTGGGACACCAGGTCCCTGCGAAGCGGAAGTTTCCAAGGTTGGCCCTCCAGGAGCTGGAAAATGTCCGCCACCCAATGCATGGCTGGCCAGTATGGGGCCACCAGAATGAGAGTGTGGAGCTGGGTTCGTACCCTCAGCAAGGTGGGTGGTATCAGGGCCACTGGGGGAAAAGCGTAAAGCAGTCCCCGTGGCCAGTCGTGCGCCAGCGCGTCCACGCCGAGTGGAGCGTCTCGGTCGCGCAGAGGACAGTGAGCATTCTCCTTGGAGGCAAAAAGATCCACTACGGCTGTGCCGAACCGGATCCAAATCTGTTCCAACACTGCTGGATGCAGGCTCCAATCCCCGTACAGGGGTGTCCCTCTGGACAACAAATACGCCCCCCGATTCAGAACACCCGGGACATGGGTGGCTCTGATTGAGAGGAGATGCCTGCTGCACCATAGGATCAGTCTGCGTGCCAGCGTGTGTAACCGCATGGAGCGCAGCCCCCCCTGGCGGTTTATATAAGCCACAGTCATGGTGTTGTCTGTTCTCACTAGGACATGATGGCCGGAGAGAAAAGGCAGGAAGCGCCTCAGGGCTAGAAAGACCGCGAGGAGTTCCAGATAATTTTTGTGTGTCCCCCAGAGCTCTCTGCTCCACACACCCCTGACAGAGCGACCCTCCAGGAGCCCCCCCCCCAACCTGACAGGCTCGCATCTGTCGTGACCACTTTCCTCACGAGAACCAACCCCAAAGGCACCCCCTGTGCCAAGAGGGAGGGGTGACGCCAACAGCGGAGCGCCGCGACGCACGCTGCAGAGACCGTCACCCTGCGCGCTCTGTGGCGCACTGGAGAGAGACCCAGAGAAGCCACCCAGCGTTGAGAATCTCTCATGTGTAGACAGCCGAGTGGTACCACTGAAATAGCCGACGCCATGAGACCCAAAAGCCTGAGGCATAACGCAAACCGCACCGAACTGTGTAGGCGGAAGCGCGCCAGGCAGAACGAGAGCGCGTTCACGCGCGGTGCCGAGAGACGGGCCGTGAACGCCCCTGAGTCCAGATTCAGACCTAGAAAGGTTATTTTCTGGGAGGGGAGTAAAGCGCTTTTCTGCCAGTTTATTCTGAAACCCAGACCACACAAGTGACGGATCACAACCAGCGTGTTTGACGCTGCCTCCTCTCTGGACCGTGCCAGCAGGAGCCAGTCGTCTAAATGCGTGGCCAGCCGAATGCCCCTCCCTCTCAGAGGGGCGATCGCCGCCTCCGTACACCTGACAAACACCCTCGGGCTCAGCGAGAGGCCGAATGGGAGCACGGTGTATTCGTAACACACTCCCTGAAAGGCAAACCTCAGAAATTTCCTGTGTGGAGGGTACACGGGAACATGAAAGTATGCGTCCCTCAGGTCGATTGAGGTGAACCAGTTGCTCTGGTGAATCAGACGCAAAAGGGATGAGAGCGTGAGCATTTTGAATCTGTACTTTCTGAGGCATGGGTTCAGGGCCCTCAGATCCAGGATCGGGCGAATCCCGGTCCCTCCCCGCTTCGGGACCAGGAAGTACCTGGAGTAGAAACTGCTCTGAGACCGATCGGGAGGCACAATGCATATCGCTCCCTTCTCCAGCAGGGAGGAGATTTCTCCCTGAAGGATGTGAGATGACGACCCCTGGGCGTGGGAGAACACTACGCTGGAGAATCGAGGAGGAACAGAAGCGAATTGGAGCCTGTAACCCCTCGAAATAGTTCTCAGCACCCAACGTGAAGCAGAAACCGCTGTCCATTCCTCCATGTGAGTGGAGAGCGGTGACACAGCCGTGACACACGGAGCAGCAGCTCCCTCCAGAGGTTGTGGGGCAGCGGTGCTCGTGGCAGCCACTGCGCATGCGCAGGGGCTTTGTGCTTTGACGGCCCAGGCTTACGGGGACGACCCGTGGCGCCGCCCCCGCCTGGAACCGCTCATGGGTGACATTTTATTGATTTTTGCTGCGCCCTTGACATCTTGTCTGGATGCGACAGCGAACCTTTTAATGCTCCTTGAGCGTGACATGTTTGTGAAAAACAATGTGAGTGCTTGTGACGTGTGTTTTGAGCCGGCACTGCCAGCTGCAGCGTCGGGAGGGAAGAACTCCGACAGGCTGCCCACTTCTTCCTCCTCACCTGCTGACCGCCGTGTCTGGTGGATTGTCCCGGCGGCGGAGCAGCTTGGTTGCCGGATCCCTGAGGCCAAACTGGTCGAGGCTCTGAGCCCGAAGGAGCTGGTTGGACAGCTTGAGGCTTCGGGCGCTTTGGGATCCGGAACTGAGGCTGGGCTCGGGCAGCTGCCTGAGGCAGGTTCGGCCGAGCCGGCAGCGCCGGTGAGGGTTTACGGGGAAGGCAGAGATGAAGGGCTTCATCCTCTTTCTTTTTGGCCGCACACCGGTGCTGCATTGATGCCAGGGCAGAGCCAAAAATGCCTTCAGGCACGATTGGCATGTCCAAAATGTCCTCCTTCTCTCTCTCAGAGAGGTTGGTGAGGTTCAGCCATCGTGCACGTTCTTGAAGCACCATCATGCCCATAGCTTTAGCCGTAGCATGGACCGCGCAGCGCTGCACATGCAGGCAGATGTCGGTCAGTCTGGTGATTTCCTCCCACACCTCCGGGTCCGGCTTCGTATTCATGTCCTCACAGAGCTCGGCTTGGTACGCCGAGAGCATGGAGGAGACATTCAAAGCTCGGACCGAGATGGCGGCAGCCTTGTACGCCCTCTCGTTCAGCGCCGACTGGAAGCGGTCCGCCTTCGCAGGGAGAGCGGGAGGCCTGGAGGAAGTCGCCGAGAGCCGTGGGTGCAGGTGGGCTGCAACCAGCGGTTCCATCGGCGGCATGCAAAGCATGCCAGCCTTCTCCATCCCTTCGAAGTCCAGCGAGGAGGCTCCTTGGACAGGAGACCTGGAGCTGAACGGGTGTTTGTCCCAGGAGGACCTCACTTCTTGGAGTAGCTCCGGGAAGGCGGGAAGGAGGGGCTTTGCCCCCCTCATGGCCTGAGGCAGCTTCTTTCCCTCGTAGCGGGATCTGACAGCCTCAGTGACCACAGTGGGCCAAGGGATGTTGAGCCTGGTCGCAGCGCGTCGGCAGACTGACTGCATGTCCAGGTGGACGGCCGGAGAAGCCGCTCCATCCCTGGGAGAGGACGGAAAGCTAGGCATGGAGGCCTGAGCGATGGGGAGAAAGACATCGTCCTCCTCTGAAATGAGGAGTTCCGAGGTGTCCTCGTCGTCTCCGTAGTCCAACTCCAACACGTCCTCGGCGGGGTGGCTCGGACCGGCCAGTTCGAGCTGTGAGCCCCAGCTGAGTTCGGCACACGGTTCCGGCTCCGGGAGGACATGTTCGCTGGCGTCCCCAGGCGGTGGCCCAGGGGCCGGCAGGCAAGGGTTCTTCCCCGACAGGCTAGTTTGGCGCGCTAGCTGCCGGCGAAGGCTCTTCAGGGTGAAGCAAGCGCAGCTCTCACATGACCCGGGGACTTCCAATGCCAGCTGGGCGTGTTCCAGCCCGAGGCAGCTCGAGCAGACCCTGTGCGGGTCTTTGCTTGAGATTTTGTTCCCACAGGTACAGAGGCGAGCTCCTGCGCCGTCGACTCCTCTGGTGGGAGGAGCGGCTTCCATGTTGGCTAACTGGTGTGTTAGCAGAGAACGAACAGATGCACTGCAGTGTGAAGCTGCTTGTTATGCCCCGAGCCTATGGTGAAGGTCAGGACAGAAGGACGGTAAGTTAACGTTCGGCGACGGAGAGAATATTAGAAGGCTCCGTCTGTGAACAGTTGAGCTAACTTACCTCAGAGATAAGCGACCACCGAAGCGAGAAGAGGTGATTGAATAGTGTGTACGTTGGGACGCTTGCTACTTATAGTAGCAGGGGGACGCGTACGTCACGGTCACTGGCCAATCAGGATTGGCGTATTGAGATAAGTGCTTCTGAGGAATCCGCGGAGGGGCGTATCCCATAGTGAGACATCGAAACGAATGTTAAGAAAGAGAACAGCCATTCTCTGTGGTGGACGACTGACACCGGGTTCTGGCCACTAGGAGCTGATAGGGATAATAAATTAGTATAATAATAATAATAATAATAATAATAATAATAATAATAAAAACATCTCGCAACACGCAAAGTTGTGAGATTTTTTATTTCTTTTTTGAGTTATTTAGTCTGTTGATTAGATTACTGACGACAGCAGCTACATTTAAGTTTCAGTTACCCTTTAACTGAATCGTAGGTGTAGCTTCTCATCCTGGACATGAACATCCTGATGGTTTTAATTGAAAACAGCTCGATTTCTCCGCTATGTTGAAGACATTTTGCCTCTCATCCCAGAGGAATCTTCAGTTCCCGTACTAGGATTGTGGTCAGAAACAAACGCACTGATTGTGCTGCAAGTCTTTTTTTCTTTCTTTTTTGAAAACATGTTTTGCCTAAATGAAGGTGACGTTGTTCAGAGAATTTAAATTCATGTTGAAGTTTAGATCATTTCAGCATAAAAGACCTGTGATTGGCTGGCTCTTGTAAAACATTTGATGTTTTGGATACTGCCAAAGAATCAAAATTGGGAATCGATAGGAACCGTAATCGAAACGAGGGATGGGAATCTGAATTGTTCATATTAAAACAATGCCCAACCCTACTGATCTTTTGTTTGCACAAATTACCTCCTCAGTGTTTACTGGCTCTCCTTTTTGTTTGCTTTAAACCTGAAATACTCCCTAAGTGCAAAAGTTGTGTTCTTTTTAGACACAAACTCAGTTGGTGTGCAAGCTGCCACTTTTCTTGTCACTTGATGACATCACTTTCATAAACTTTATAGAATGTCTCTAAAAGTTGGACAAAACATTTTAAACTATTCATGTGAAACTGACCATTAAACACATTCATTTTATATAATAAATTACTTTTATTTCTAAATAAGGTCAAAGGTCACTCATTCTTCCTTGGGATTTCCTGTTGGAAGGTCATTCCGGTCCTTAAGCAGCAAGTCGGCCCCATACCATCACTCTACCACCCTCATGTCTGACTGTTGATGGGATGTTCTTGGTCTGAAATGCAGTCTTAGTTTTTACTCGAGCTGTAACGTGATAGACACTTTCCAAAGCAGTTTTGCTTTTGTCTCGTTAGTCCATAGATCATTTTATCAATTGTCTCGTGTATCATAAAGATATTGAAGCAGATCAAGGTGTAACGAAAAAGAAAAATTGTATGAAATAAAACATTTTTATTTTACCTCACTGTAAATATCAATATATATGAAAATGTATGAATGCTGCATAGATAATACACAGGGTTTCCCCCAGCGATGTATAAGCCTGGCGGGCCGCAAGGCTTTGCTTGGTAACCCACCTGGCTGAGCGTAGTGGTAACCCCCCCCCCCCCCCCCCCCCCATCCCCGGGCCCTGGCCCTACCTTCTCTGCAGTCATGGATGACGTGACGCTCAGCAGCGAAACACAACGACGCGCATGCCCCTCCTTCATTGCCAGGCTTATCAAATTTTCTGGGGGCGAACCCTGAATATATTATTACGTAGCACAATTTGATCCACTAGGAAAAAAATATATATTTTCTTAACTTACCGGTAGTTTTGTTTTCTTCCTGTTGCAGAAACAGATTCAGAAGATTCTGATGATGATGGAGATGGTAACTACCTTCATCCAAGTCTGTTCGCCCCTAAAAAGTGCTCTCGCCTGGAAGAGATTACTAAGGTAATGTGATTTAAATAAAATCCACCAATATTTTCTCTTGTATATTGTCTTGTACAGCTACTGTTTCTGACTGGTACGTAGTTCTTTAAATGCATAACTCCTGACAGAAACACGAATGTGTATACTCGGATAGTTAATCCATCTCCTCCGGCTCTTAGGCTGCTGCAGCACTGCGTAGTAAATTATTTATCCAGCAAAAACTCTTTTATTTTTCTTGGTATTATTTAGCTGCGTTTAGATGTTTTTGTTACACTTTTCAGATTTAAGGATATTTGGAGAATTGCTGGAGAAGCTTTTACATTTTTATACGAAGTGTTTCATCAGCGAGCACAAATAGTTAAAATTGTGCTTTCTAAAATGAAGAAGGACAAATATATTTTCATTCTTTTTGATATTTCAGTTTTATGATTTCAAATGAAATGTAACTTAGTCTAGTTTCAAAGATGTCTATTTGAAACTGATTGTTTACATCCTCAGTATGAATGTATTTCTCATCAGGCTGCTCCTATTTTAAACTGTCCATTTGAAATGGGTTGTTTACATCCTCATTACTTATTCATTTGTGTCTTTCCTTGCTGTTGATGTCTGCTCATGAGACAAACATCTAATAACTACATTCTGCTTCCCTGTCATCATGATGTTAGCTTTTTGTTAGCGCTTTCGTGCAACTTGTCGAGATAGTCATTAGCCTTTGAGCAGCCAGAACAGAAGAGTGTCCTTTTAAGGAAACATAACAAGCTTATTTTAGCACGGAGCTGTCAAAAGGTTTCCTTTTATAAGGAGGGATTTTCTTTTGAAAAGAACTACACTGGTTTTCTAATCAGGATTTGTGTCTCGTGATTCATGGGGTTATTACCTAAATTTGTAAGATTTTTTTTAAGATAAGACTTTTTGCTGCTGTAAACATTACTGTGATTATTCTTTATTAAAATATAAGCCTTAAATACCTTATGCGTGCATATAAATCCAATTTTTGTAAATGTTAGTTGCTTAAAGAATCCTCCGAATAGATAAAAAATGTTTTTACTAATTTTCACTGTTTTTTGGGGGGCGTTATTTTGCAGCCATTAAAGGTTATGGACCCCGATCATCCCCTAGCTGCAATTGTACTAAAAGCCCAACAAGAAAGAAACGGCACAGCAGCAGCGGCTGCTGCACCAGCAGCACCAGCTACAAATCCTGAAGAGCCTGTATCCACGACGACAGTTCAGTACTCAGCTGACCGTGAGTACATGTGTCTTTACTTTTTACCCCCCCCCCCCCCTCCCAAAAAAACCTCTTGACATATAAGCAAGATGTTTAGTATAAATTAGGATTAGTGCATAAATAATAAAATCACACTTTAATAGTTTAAAGCTCATTACAATAATATATGTTGAGTGCAGTGAAGACATGTTTATCCCCTTCTGTTTTTGCTTTTTGTGTCACTTAAAGGTTACAAATCAATAAACAAATTTCCTTTTCAAAAACAATAGCCTGAGTAAGTACAAACCACATTTTTCAAATGAGGATTTCATTTATTAGGTGCAAAAGAACTATTCATCTAATCTGTGCATATAGGAATAAACCTTTGCCCCGTAAACTTAACATCTGGTTCCAATCAAGTGTTTTTGATAGCCGGTAATGAGTCTCACATCGTTGTGGAGGAATTTTGTCTCACAGTGCTTAATGGTTTTACTACAGCTCCATTAGAAGATTTGTCAGCGTGAGAGGCCGGTTAAAGGTCAATGTTTGAATATTCTTCTGTAGGAGTGTTTGGCAGAGTGCAGAATTTATGGTTTCATCAACTGTAGCAAGTTGTCCAGGTCCTGATGCAGTGCTGACCCCCACTGACCCACAAACATTAACTCATCCTACTTGAGTTTAATCATCAGCGACAGCTGTGAAGGGTCTTCTTCTAGCTCATCTGCTGAACTGGATCTGGTGATGTTTGCATATGACTTCCTGATTATCTTGGTGTTCAAAGACTTAGAAAACTTGACCACCTGTTTGGTCAGTCTTTGACCTGGTTTAATGTTAAAGCAAGTCTCTTTCAAATGTTGTTCTTATGTCACACACGTGACCTAAGGAATAACTTATTATTCGTATTATTATTTACAATGATCATTAATATCTAGTTTATCCGACTATTGAGAGCAACCGCAATAAAACACCCTTTTTAGAAGACACACCATGCTGGCAAATCAACGAAATACTGCCATGGCGATTAGGTAACTTTGTGGAATTAGTTCAGCCAAGCTTGGTAGTGCTATTGCTGCAACGCCAGACTTGTGAATGCATTTTGCAGCTTGGCGCAACAGAGGGCGGTGTCATGATCACAGATGGAATTACTGCTGAACTCCGACCGACAAATATATTTAAAATTAAAGTAAGCAGATGCTGTAAGTTTCACTTTGTAAACATCTGAGATAGTAAACTGGAGCAATGCAGAGCTGCAGGAGGTTCTCTACGTTAGAGCTGGAGGTCAGTTCACCCAAAAGCTTCACGGGGACTTCAGGAGCAGCTTGTCAACTTAATGAGTGCGGCTTCAATCGCAAAGAAAAAGCAAGCTGTGTCCACGATAAATGGAAGTCTGTGGCAGTGCAGAGACCATCCCCATACTTCCTTTATACTGCCATTGCGTCATATTTTGTAAAAAAGACACGATTGGGCCACAGCCTGGCCACTTATAAACGACCTTAGGCTCCATGATGCTGGCTCAGTGTTGCGGCATTGTTTTATGTTTATGTTTATTCATTTAGCAGACACTTTTATCCAAAGCGACTTACAATTTATAACCTATAGGGCATGTTGTGATCTGTGGGGGAAACCGGAGTACCCGGAGGAAACCCACGCATGCATGTGGAGAACACGCAACTCCACGCAGAAAGGCCGCAGCCGAGTTTCAAGCCTGCAACCTTCGTGCTGCGAGGCAACAGTGCTAACCACTGCGCCCCCATGCAGCCCATGGTTTTGTTTTCTAAAAGAGGCTAATGACAATATTAGGTGAAACTTAAAAATTGGAATATGATGAAGAAATTCATTGTTTTCAGTTTTTCAACTTAAAAGGTGAAACTAATATGTGAGATAGTCTTTACATTACAGATGATTCAGCCTTTATTTGTCATAATTGTGAGGATTGTGGCCTAAAGCTTATGAAAACCCCAAAATATTTAATATTCTAGACTCAAAGTGTCACACCTGAATCGGCTAATGTGTCCAAAACACCTGCACATGGTTCCTGAGCCTTTAGATGGTCTCTTAGTCTATAAATTAACTTTTGCACGAAAGTTTTTAACTTTCACCTATAAGCAAAACAAATAATCCTATCATCTGCATTATGGGGTCAACTTGAGCAAAATCTCCTTTCAGTGCTTCTGCCTGCAACAAAATTAGTCCTTTCCTTTCTCTATGACGCGTTTATACATCAGAACCTCCTCAGCCTCAGCTTTCTGTTTTCTTGACTTGAACGAATCATGTCATTAAAGTCAGCTATCTCAGTGAGTAATGCGTTAATATCACAGTGTCTCCACTTTGACATTGACCATTTATTTAATCCATGTGTGCTCGCATTGCCACCCTCTCCTTTTTTAATGAATGGTCTTTGTATTCGAGTCCCACTGATGAACAAGATAGCCTTCCTTCTGCTTAGATAACACGTTGATTTATTTCATGGCTCTCTTAGTGATTAAATTAATCAGTTCGGTTGATGCATTTAACAAAAGTAATTGTCGTACAGGAAAAAAAAATACTAGTTTATTACAACAATGGCTTTCTAAAGAAAACCTTGACAACTGAAGATCCCCCACAGCCATCTAAATAATCCTTCAGCAAGAACGTCTGAAGATTGACACCACATAGATTTCTCTTTCCAGAGTTGGCTCACGTTGCGCTCCACAAAGAAAAAGTCACACCGTTTTTCTAACATAGCAGCTCTTGTACTTTGTTGCCACTTTTTTGTGCAAAGAAAATCCCTAATTTTCTAATTTCTAAAATGAAATATGTAGGTTTTTAGTAGAACTGTGTGCCTTAGAACCAACTTTAGTTGGACATTATAATTATAATGACCACTGTCCTTGTCTAGCCTTCCTGGAGAATGTAATTTTAACACAGTGACTGTGCAGAAAATGTGGTATTTGCGTTATTAATGGCCTTGCCTATAAACAAGACTGATTTGACAGATTCCATTTCCAGCAGCGACGACGTTCTCCCCTGACCGGTTCATGTTCTTTACCCAAGGTTAAAATGCAAAGACTGCTAAAATGACTCCATAGATCACCCTATTACTGTTATAAATACATCATGATTTCAGATGAAATCTAAACAGATAAATCAAATTTCTCACTTTTTCAAATTAGGGGGCTGGTACCAGAGCGCCACCTCACACTCTTAAACCCAGAGCATGCGGTTAAATCAAAGATCTCAACAGAAAACTGAAAATGGCATCCTGTTAATGCAATTATTTTGTTGCTTGAGCATGAAAACTAATCACAATATACAGCTCTGTTTACGTCCTTATTCAGAAGCAGAACTATTCGTCCATTCTTTCACTTTGTTTATCCATCCAACCATTCCTCTTGTATCAACAGATTTTTTTTTGTTTATGAGCATCATATGGATTAGTCATTCCTAACCATTTCTTCCCAGCAGCAGTGTACTATGGATACTACATGCTTCCAGATGGATCGTACTGCTTAGCTCCTCCTCCACCAGGTGTGGATGCCACCTCGTACTACAACAGTGTAACTTCAGCTGTCATCTCGACGCCAGCCTCTTCTGAAGCTCAGCCCAACGTTGGGACGACTCCCACACCTGCCGAAACTGTCACTGCGGCGCCGCCAACCTCTACCGCCTCGCAGGTTTCCAGCTCTGCTGCACCTGTGAACATACAGGAAGCCAGGTATTCTTGTAACATGAGGTTTACCATAATCAGGTGTAATGACATGGGTTTTTAGATTATTCATTATATGTAAATAAGTTATTTGATTTTTTTTTCTGAAGATGTGGAGTAAAATTAATTCAGTCATCAACACCTGTTTTAAAATTCTCACTCAAACAGCTCAAAAGTAGAAGCTCCAGTTTCTACACCTGCACCACCAGCCATCATTCCTCCACCCCCTGACATCCAGCCAGTCATAGACAAGTTGGCTGAGTATGCTGCAAGAAATGGTTCGAAGTTTGAGGCTAGCGTCCGTGCGAAAAATGATCCTCGGTGAGTGTTTTTTTAATTTATTTTTTATACCACTCAGAAATCATCATTCAGGCCTTGGTCTTAGGGATTCTGTCAGTACTTTTGCCTACAGAAACTACTGAACTTCTTCATCATACTTAAGATTATCATTTATGAATGTCTTCCTTTCTATACTCTCCAGGTTTGAGTTTCTGCAGTCTTGGAATCAGTACAACACATACTATGAGTTTAAGAAGAATTACTTCATGCAAAAGGAAGGAAAGATGCTAACAAAGGTATTGTGTCCAAGTTTTTCAGTGTGTGTCACTGTTGTGTCCTTCAGGGTTGTCTAATACCCAACACTTGACTTGGAAAGATTTTAAACTCTTACATTTATTCTCTTGAATAACTCTAAAATTTTAATTGGTCAAACTTTTTTAATAATTATTGAAATTTTTAAGTTGATAACGATTAGCGTCAGTTTCACTTCATCACAGCTACTAAAAGTTCACAGATACTTGAATTGTTGAATTGAAAAGTAATTATGTCAATATTTAGAAACAGAATTCATGGCTACGAAAAAAAAATACAGTTTTAATGAAAGTAAATTATAAATGTATTGGCTTATAACAGCTCAGGCCTGCTGTTAAGGCGGTAAAATTAACATTTTAAGCGTTTGTTGATTGACACATCAAATAGCTAATGAGGAAGCATCCTGATCTGATTCTGTAAATGAAGTAAGAACAATTGTGATTGGTGAATCACAGTGAAGTGTGTGTCAGCCCCACAAAACGTTTAAATGTTTCCGCGTAAATATATTTTGCCTATCGTCTTTTGTTGGACTGACGAATAACAGTTGGAAAACCTTTACGTATTACTCAACCTTCATTTTTATCTTTTCACCAAATCTAAGAATCGGCATGAAAAGTCACTTTGAAAATGTAAAAAAAAATGTCTTGAATTTGAAGCTGGAAAGACTCAAAGCTACCTTAACTCATTCACTGCCAGCTGTTTCCTGAACAGAAAAGCTCTTCACTGCCAGCGTTTTTCAGCGTTTTACTGTTTTTTTAAGAGTCACAGAACGTTGTGCTCTATGATGTCGACGCCAAAACAAAGCGGAGACTCACCTCTTACATGAGGAAGAACCCACGCATGTTGAGCGTTATCCGTTCTTTCATAATCCGTTGTTGAATTATGATCAGCAGAAGCTTTTCCGGTTCACGCCTCACTTTTTGTACAACAGCGGCCCAAAACGATCTCCTAACACATGGATTTTCTGCTTCCTGATCATGTGACATGTGACGTACGCAGATGAAGATCAGCTTTAGAGCTGAGATGCTTGTACTTACGGTGCGAGGGTTCGTTCTAACGGCCACACAGTAAAAAAAATACAAATGACAGTTAATGAGTTAATGCAAATTCAGTTCCCTTAAGAGTAATTTTATTTGTGTTTCAGAACATGCTACTTCTCCTTTTCGATCTTAAAGAAATTGTTTCTGTCTTTAAGCAATCTGCCCTCTCTGGAAAGCTTTGTGTGCTCAGAGCCTGCCTGCTGGTTTCTACTGTTCATGTTGGATGATTTGCACAAGTCTTCTCCAAACTCCAAAGTTCATACAGGGTTTTAATGAACTCTCTGGATTATTGTTGAGATTGGGGGAAAAGGTTGTCTAATCATTCACAGCACTTAGTCAACCTTGAAATTAGTGCATTTTTTTTTTGTTCCTGATATACTTGGACCTGACACGCTGAAATGAGAGATTTCCTGATCCTTAATATTTAAATGAAGGAAGGAAACAACATTGAGAACATGGAAAAGATTACTTGTCACTGGTATTGTTGGACGTGGGAATGAATACGGCTCGATTTAAAAAAAGCTCACGGTACAGTCTCACTTTCTTCCTCCAGGGCTGAGGTGAATGTGTCAGTTCCTACCAAAATCATCTTGTTTTCTGGAATATTGTTAATTTTTAAGCCTTTTCACATGGCAGCTGTGCTTTATTGTGTCATCTGATCAGTTTCTGCATTAATCTCTGAGTTCCGTAAAGGCCAAACAAAGGAAGTAAGAGCAAACACTTTGTTTTTAATCAAGGTCCTCCCAGAAAGAGGAGACCGTTATTGTGTTTCCCTTCACCCACGAGCTTTGTTTTAGACATGTGGGGCCTACTGGTTTTATTCTCTGACCATTTAAAGCACTGTTTACCTTTCAGCTGCTGCTTTTGATGCGTCCTTCAAACATCATGAAATGTATCTCATGGTGTGTGTTTTTCCCCCCTTCTCTGGTGGCCTTGACTTCAACACTGCTTTTTCGAATGAACCATCACTTCTTTGTAATTGAGATAAAAGCTAAGAGCCGCTTGTAATATCAGAGAGCATTTGTGTGTTGTTTGACTTGTGGACACAAGCCAGGTATTATGGCCAGAGGTTAATATGAATAATAACAGATGCTGCAGTGGTCGTGGGAAGCTTGTAAGCAGCTAATCAGACCGATAAGTGGGAGTAAAAAGTGAAGGTGGTGAAAAGTAAAAGGCAGATAAGTGTATGGCTTTCCTCTTAAAAATAACAATTCCATTTTAAAGATCAGTCCTCCTTAATTTGGAGTGCTTTTGTTTTTAAAATTGCTCCTTCTCTGTGAAAAGTTTTAGATACACAGGGTTTTAATTTAGATTCTTACATTTATTCTCATTAACAATCACTATAGGGTTGGGCACGCAAGAGGCAGGGCCACATTTTTTCTTTCCTTTGAGTTACATATTGTAGCCATCCAAGATGTAATTCTGTCAGTAAATCTTCACTGCCTTTGCGAGGTGGTGTGGTGACTAGGTCCCTCCCTGCTACACCCCCTCACCTTCAGCCTCTTTCACAAAAGTCGATTTTAAGATTAGTTGTTTGAGTAGTCCTGCATTAGCTTTTCTTTTCATGTACAACAGCCTCTCAGTCAAGTAAGTCACTTTCTGAAACTTAGCGGCCACGTTCACCGAGAAACCGTTTTTACATGTTATTTTTGAAATATGATCCGTCACTCAGAGTTTAACATTCTGGCTGAACGTGGAAAACTCTCTACCCTTTTGTCCTGCAATAGTCGCCAATAGAAAACAGACAGGGAAACAGATTAAAAAAGCCTGATATTTGCATGTCATATGTCAAGCTAACATTCATGAACTCAACCATGTTGGCTCGTGGCGCTGAAGGCTGTTGTTGATTTAACATCCAGGAAAGAGCAGAGCATGTGTTGGCTAGTAGAAGCTAACAGTTAGCATTAGCAACTCCACAACATGGCAGAATTCCTTTATGCTTTTTTTGTGGAGAAAATGCATCACCGTTGCAGAGCAAGCAGAGTCTGTAGCAGTCGTGTTGCCCTTAGCCAATCACAGGTGAGATGTCCAAATGCCAGGAAATATGACTCCTAATTCAAACTTCAGCTCAGTTCTTAACTGGCTCACTTCTAGTTCCTGAAACAAGAGAGCCGGAGCCTTTCCCCTCACAGATCAACTCACATGGCCTTCTTTTTTACTGAAGACCACTGCAAATGTGTTGAAAAACAAGTGAACTTGGTATTTTAAGTATTTTTCTTTAGGTCAAATGTTTTGTTAGTTTTTAAAACATGATTTGAAGTCTACGCTCCACACAGCTGACTATTAGTATTTTTTCGTGACGTTTTCTTAAAATAAGTCATGTTTGTGTGGGTGATGTATTTTTACATGATTAGCCTTTTTCTGGAATTCAAAGACTGTGCGTGTGTTTGTGTGTGTCTGTGAGTGTTTGTGTGTGCGTGCGTGCGTGTGTATGTGTGTGTGAGTGTTTGTTTGTGTGTGCGTGCGTGTGTGTGTGTGTGTGTGTGTGCGTGTGTGTGTGTGTGTGTGTGTGTGTGTGTGTGTGTGTGTGTGTGCATTCGGTATTATTGCTGGGGTTTGTGTGGAGAACAGACTTATCATTCAAGTGTGCTTTGCTTTTCCTCAGAGACGAGGGCTGCCGGATACAAGTTTATAATTTCCATTCTTCAGCTTTTTTCTGAACTTTTATTCCACACTATCCCATCCATTTATATCATCCTTTTTCTCTTAAAGCTGGTTCTGAAGGGCACTGAGCTTCTGGTGATGATGCTCAGTTTCCATTATAGAAACATTAAAGTAAAGAGTAGGATTTTTAGCTTCAGGCATCGTTTTCTCTTCTCCATAGTGGCTGTTTGCTTCTCTGCAGACGTTTAACTATACATGTGGGCATGAATAATTATAATAATTAAACCTAATGGTTATAATTTGTGTCCCAGAAGAAATGCCCAGTTTTAACATTTCAGAGCCTGTAACTTTACTCTTTAAAAAAACAAGAATATTTAACACCTACAAACACATTTAGGTGTCTCCTTCATTTATGAATTGACAGGAAATGAACAGTTGGCTTCTGAAAATCTTTCCCAACACTAACAGTGTCACAGATTTTTGTGTATGTCTCAAACTAACGATACATCACAGAAAAACAAAGCCAAACAGGTTTCAGTGAAATCTCATTTTCTGCACCATCTGTCTCCTGTCAAAGTTTATGTGGATTTATAGCAGGCAGAAGGAGCAATAAGTTGTGATGGATGCCAAGTGGCCTCTGAAGAATGTCACTAATGTATTTCTTAATGTTTTAAACATATAGAAACTAATCTGATTTTCTGTGTTCTCTTTTACTCATCCAGGCTGGGACAGTAGATGATAACGATGATGGCGACCTTCAAACAGACAGCTCTGACAAAGAGTCCAAGCTAGCAAAAGGTGAACGCAAAACCAAATATTTACATTTTCTTTATTAATTTACACCCCAATCACATCCCAAGCCCTTTCATAAATATGTAAATAATCACACGTGAGTGTTTATTTTCTCAATTGTGTTTATTTGTGATGTAAATCGATGTTTATGTACAAGCACCCACGAGTCTGTTCATATTTATGCTGGCAATTTCATTTGATGATATCAGGCTACAAATGTCGGTGCAAAGATAAGACTGCCTACTTCTGAGCTGGCAGCAGCCATAAACATACACACACACAAATTAAAGGCACACAGATTATTGTTATGCAACGGATCATGGAGGGAAACTAATAACAAGTAGAGAAGTACACAAGTAAACTATCCAGCCCACTGCAATAAGGATCCAGGTCCTATATTAAGGTTATTGCTTCAGGGACAGGGACGTGCCGTCTCTTTCACCTACACTAGAGAGAATGTATTTGGCAATGAAACAGAAATATCTTCTGTCCTGTTCATTCATCTGCCTGTTTTTGCATCTTTTCTTTATGATTTTTTTTTTTTGTTTCACAGCATTCTCAGATAGTTTTTCCTTCTCTAAATCCTTCCCCTTCACTCTATTTCTTTCTTCTCCACTTTAACCTCATTTCTCCCAGTTTCCATTAAGTGAAGAATCAGACAGAGGCCACAATTCTGAGTCTCATAATTTGTTCTGTTCTGAAACCTCTTTGGTCTTTCACAATCACTATTTAACCTTATTTTTGTGCCATCGTAGGCTCTTTTGCCCCCATCTCTTTTGCCATCAAGCCAAAGGAAAACGACTTGCTGCCTCTGGAAAAGAACAGAGTCCGACTGGATGATGACTCAGATGAGGACAAGGTCTGTTTCTATGTTCTTCTATTAAGTCTTGTAAAATTTCAATCTAGAAAACAGAAAAAATATCTATTTTTCTAAATTGTATTAATTAACCCGTGAGCCCTAAAGCCCTTTTCAGATTGACATTCTGGAATATGTGCGGACAATTCAGTCCGGTTTTTAACCAGAACTGTGTTTTCAGACACACCACTTTTGTACCTGAACTTGTCCTCTCGGCTGCCTTCACACGGCAGGGAAAAGTTCCAGATCTCTGGGGGGGGGGGCAGGCATAGTGCGGCGGGCGTACATGCGTCATTTACTCAAACAAAGCCTTTCAGTCAAACATGGCAGACGAAGAGATAGAATTCCTCTCACTGATCGGACTTATGTTAAGCATAATTCTTCGCACACGAAGATGCATAAGAGACCTGGATGATGAAGCTCAATGGTTAAAAGGAATCACGGAAGCGGTGTGAAGCGCTCCGTCGCGCGTCTAGGAGACTGTACCGTAGGAGGCGAGCTGCCATGGTTCGCCGCATGCTACAGGAGCGAGCTATCTAGGTGCGCACAGCGTCCCCCGGTCCCCTCTTCCTCCCCCTCCTCCCTGTCCGGAACTCGACCTCACCAGTCTGAAGCAGCCACCCTGTCCCTGACAAGTCCGAACCTGTTACTAGGGGCGCATCCGGTTTAATTACGGAAAAGGTTATCCGGATGTTTGTATTCAGACACAAAGGTCTTACGGACAGAGTCCTGAACATTTCCGTTTTTCATGGCCTGTCTGAAGGGGGCTTAATTAATCATGTACTTTTGATTTAAGTTATTGGGAGATGAGGGGCTGGAAGCTGTCCTTGGTGGAGCCGTAATTATTGACAGGGAGCCTCCTCCAATCATCATACCTGATGAGAAGAAGCCCATGCTCAGTTTGGAAGAGCTGGAAGCAAAACAAGGTGAGTTAAAATTTTCTAAGCTTCAGGCATCCTTTTAGGGTACTAGAACAATAACCCCTTAAAATACATGGACCTGCTAGACCAGGGGTCGGCAATCCGCGGCTCTGGAGCCGCATGCGGCTCTTCCATCCATCTGATGCGGCTCTCTGTGCTTGTAAAATAATGAATGGATATTTAAATAAAAAGCTTTATATTTTACTGCATAAATTTTACATCTGTAAGCTAATTCTAAATGTAAAGATTGTCTGCGTAAACCTGAACAGGTCCAACTCGGTCTTACTGTGAGACCGGGTTGACGCGTCACGCTTGTGCGTAATCATAGGTGCTTTCTGAGCTGAAGAGGATAAGAGATTCTGGGATTCTCCTCAGACGGCTCATGGATGCGATGCCACATTGGAGACAGGAACAAGCGCTATTCAGCCAAAGTTTCATAGTCAGGGAACATTTTCTAAGTGACAAGTCTCTCTGAGAGACCGGGTTTGGAAACACTCGCTTCAGTCGGAGGAATCTTCCCGCATGCGCTCTGGTTCTGCGACGCGCTCCAAGCCCCTCTCCACATCTTCAGCTCACTGTGCACCGTACGTACGCGCTGACAGCGAGCTGCGCTGAGCAGTGTCCAGCTCAGATGTTCAGATTGGAATATTTTCTTGAGTGATTTAGCTACATCTGCGATGTGCGTAGAATAAAATGTCAGTTCGTCTGCATGCGTCGGGGTAATTCTTTCTATTCTTTCTCCGTCAAAATAAACGGTCAAATACGGGAACTGTCCGGTCAACACAACACAAGCCCTGCTTTTGACTGTTTTGTTTTCTTGTGAAAATAGATTAAATTAAACTTGATTAACACCAGAGCCAGGCGCACTGCACCGTTATCTCCGTCACTGTAAATGAGGGAAAAACAAAATGATCGGATCCTTTTCTGACCTTACCCACCTACAAAGTTTAATTACAACAATCAAATGTGACAAAGCCTGGATTTGTATTCTGAACAGTCTAAACATGTTTTAAAAAGAAACGTATGACAAAAGTGGCACCTGCTCAGTAAAACCACCAAAGGGTGAAAAATATCCAAATATTGTCGGCAGAGACGGGCTACAACTTCTGGATCCACTTCATATTAATCATCTTATTGATTATCGTCTTATGAAAGATAACTTTGACGTACACGAGCGACCGGTACCGGCTGCTGTCACCTGTTGTGAGCAGCTCTCTGCTGTCTGAGGGTAGGCCCCGCCCACAACGCCGCGGCTGCTGTGGCTCCCAGTGTTTCCTTTACTGTGGGAAAAGGGTAATAATGGCTCTTTGATGGGAACAGGTTGCCGACCCCTGTGCTAGACCTAAACAGTTTCCCAGTGTTAACACAGTTCCTTACCAGGTGTGTCTGCCAAAACAGTACATTTTTTACCGTGGGGATTTGAATTAGTCTGACAACAAAAAGCATTTAGAGGAAATGGCTGTAATCCCTTTAGTAACTGCAATAATTTCCCTAACAGTGTGTGTTTCCTGTATTACAGAACAACATTTATCTCTCCATGAAGATTTTTCATTTTGTATTGTTTTGAATAATCTCCTCAGTCATCCCAAATACCTGAGTGGATTTACATAAAACAATAAAATTGTTATTTTAAAACAGGATGCAGTCACATACCAAAACTCGTCTTATGACCTGCCAAAAAGTCAGTGTCAAGCCTGATTTTCAGAAACATATTTGTCTTTTTTCGTTTTTCCTTTAAAAGAACTTTAAACCTCAATGTTTAAATTGCTAATGCACAAATATTAGGGATGTACAATATCTTTCACCAGTATTGGCATTTAAACATAATATCAGAAATGATCAGCATGGGTTTTTGTCTTTAATGACAACTTTTATATACAACGCACATTAAAGGGATACTTTGCAACTTTTTCATATTTTTAAATAATTTTCCTGAGCCAGTATGTGCTTAAATGACCCTTTACAGGGTTAATGAAAGGCCACACAGCCCCAAAGCCCTCTGTGGCCAGAATACTGCATTTGCAACTTCAGAGTTGCCGGTCTGGTCTGTTGGACTTAAAAAAAATTAGCTGACATACCTGGTGCTGCAGTCTGGTTCCAGTCCGTTTCCTGCAAGTTTTAGATCATGAACACAGCTGATTTGTTGAATTTCGTGATGAATCACTCCTGTAGACGCTAAAGAAGGCTGGTGAGATTTTTCAGCTGTTAGGTTAAGGTGTTAAAAAGACAGAGTGAGTTGCTTTCTGTTCTACAAATGGGCACTAGGGGGTGCCAAATGCAAGCCAAAACTGTGTAGTTTCACTTTGAACTCAACTACTTCTCCTCTCACTCAAAATGTCAGAATATGACAGGTGGGAGGTTTAGTTTTTGAGATGTTTTGTTTGTTTGGCACAACTAGCGTAACACAAATGGAAGTTGTCCTATTTGTATTTGTTTATATTGGTATCAATATGGGTAGATGTCAGATATCGATAGAAAAAAGACAATATTGAACATTTCATGTCAGTTCTCTTGTCCGCTCTTCCTTCTTCCATCTCAGGAACATTGGTAAATGACCTGCATTTGATATAGCGCCTTCTAGAGTCCTGGAACCCCCCAAGACACTTTACAACACAATCAGCCACTCACCCATTCACACACACATTCACACACTGGTGGTGATGAGCGACGAGGTAGCCACAGCTGCCCTGGGGCGCACTGACAGAGGCGAGGCTGCCGAGCACAGGCGCCACCAGTCCCTCCGACCACCACCAGCAGGCAACGTGGGTTAAGTGTCTTGTCCAATGACACAACAACAGCAACAGACTGAGCGGGGCTCGAACCTGCAACCTTCCGATTACGGGGCACTTAACTCCTGTGCCACCATCGCCCAGCACATCCTGAGCTCCTTCAAAGCAATCTCCTATCATCTTTATGCAGATGACATCCAGCTGTTCATCTCCTATAAGCCCCATGAGATGTCTAAGCTGCAGCTGTTACACACCTGCTTAGACTCTAACAAAACCTGGATGGCTAGGAGCTTTCTACAGCTGAATGAAGATAAGACTGAGATCCTCATCTGTGCCCCAGACACGCTGGTTCCCAAAGTCAGACTCTCTTGGTCAGCTTGCTTCTCACACCAAACCTTCTGTCAGGAATCTTGGACCTTTGACCCGGCTCTCACCCTGGATTCTCATGTCAGTTCTCTTGTTCGCTCTTCCTTCTTCCATCTCAGGAACATTGCAAAGCTGAGTCCCATTCTGTCCCGCTCTGAACTTGAGACAGTTATCCACACCTTCATCTCCTCACTCTTAGACTACTGTAACTCTCTTTTCACGTGTCTGAGCAGAATCTCCCTGAACCGTCTACAGGTGGTTCAGAATACCTGTGCTCGGCTTCTGACCAAGTCCTCCAAACACACCCACATCATCCCGCTTCTCCTCCAGCTTCACTGGCTGCCAGTCAACTTCAGGGTTCATTTCAAGATCCTGGTTCTGGTCTATAGGGCCTTACATGGACAAGAACCATCATACATTGGTGATCTTCTTAGTCCCTACACCCCCAGCAGGTCCCCGAGGTCCAGTGATCAAAGCCTACTGGTTGTGCAGCACCAGGCTAAAGACCAAAGGTGACAGATCATTTGCTGCTGTGGCCCCCAGACTCTGGAACTCTCTCCCCCTGAGCCTGAGATCAGTGGACTCCTTTAAAAAGCAGCTGAAGACTCACTTGTTCAGGCTGGCTTTTGTGTGACCTTCATCACCCCCTCCTTGTTCTGCTCTCCCCACCTATTCCACCTTCCTCAGGATCCACTGATTTCCCTCTTTCCTATTCACTCTCTCACTTTCTTTACATTTTTTATCACAATTGTCTATTTTTTGCTCATTTTAAATATACTTTTTAACCTTTTTCAAAAATCTTTTTTATATTTTTACTTTTTGTTTTTGTGAAGTGCCTCGTGATTTCTATCTTGAGAGGTGCTATAGAAATGATATCTTCTTCTTCTTCTTCTTCTTCTTCTTCTTCTTCTTCTTCTTCTTCTTCTTCTTCTTCTTCTTCTTCTTCTTCTTCTTTCTTCTTCTTCTTCTTCTCTTCTTCTTCTTCTTCTTCTTCTTCTTTCTTCTTCTTCTTCTTCTTCTTCTTCTTCTTCTTCTTCTTCTTCTTCTTTCTTCTTCTTCTCTTCTTCTCTCTTCTTCTTCTTCTTCTTCTTCTTCTTCTCTTTCTTTCTTCTTCTTCTTCTTTCTTCTTCTTCTTCTTTGCTTCTTCTTACTTCTTCTCTCTTCTTCTTCTTCTTCTTCTTCTCTTTCTTCTTCTTCTTCTTCTTCTTCTTCTTCTTCTTCTTCTTCTTCTTCTTCTTCTGCTTCTTCTTCTTCTTCTTCTTCTTCTTCTTCTTCTTCTTTCTTCTTCTTCTTCTTCTTCTTCTTCTTCTTCTTCTTTTCTTCTTCTTCTTCTTCTTCTTCTTCTTCTTCTTCTTCTTCTTCTTCTTCTCTTCTTCTTCTTCTTCTTCTTCTTCTTCTTCTTCTTCTTCTTCTTCTTCTCTTCTTCTTCTTCTTCTTCTTCTTCTTCTCTCTTCTTCAACAGGAGATATGTGGTCCTCAAAGGGACTCTTATCAAAATAACACTAATTCTCAAGTTATAAAGAAGCAAGCGACCAAGTAGAGCGGGATTAAAGAAGCCTTCTTCATGATCAGAGTATTTCACTCCTTCCTGTGCCCTGAATGTGCAAAAGGCATTTTCACCAACTGCTTTTGTTCCGAGCAGAGCTATAAAATGTTTATTGCCATGCTTGTCAGATGCACCCTATTGAGTGTCTCTGGTTTGCCGTTCAGCCCAATACCCTCGGGACAGTCTGTGTCTTAAAGACTGGAATTTCAGCATCTCCTGAGACTAGAAGATTAAAGCAAAAGCATATAATCTCCCATTGACTGGAGGGACAGCCGTGAACTCGAACTTTCAAAGATGGATAGACAGTCTGCGACAAATGTGCTACTTTTGATCATCAAGAGGGTTGTCAGGTTCATTTAGGTTCACTGAAACAGTTTTAGAATTTAATGGCCTCGTTTGAAGCTAGCATCCAGAGAGGGAGGCAGGAAGAGCCTAATACAAAGCTGGCCGGATTGCCTTTGCTGTGCACCAAAGTGGCTGTCAGTCAGTTGGCCTGATTTGATCAGATAGCGCAAGGATCAGTGACAGACAGCATACACTTATCTGTGGTGATGGGCTGGGAAATAAACCCCACACACACAGAGTAAATGTGCTTTCTTTTAATAAAACATAAATAACACTCCAAACATTTCCCCGTGGATCCACACATTTTATTCTGCTGGTGACATGACTTAAAATACTTCTTAGAATCAGAAATAGGAAATGTAAAATTAGTTGAAGAAGTAGCTCAACTGACGTGTTCAGGGCTTTTGAGCAGTGCTTAAGAAACTCACATAAGATATTTATTACTATGTGTCTCATGTGATTAAATAAAAGTTGATGAAGAATCTGCTGAAAAATTATAAATGTCTGGGGATTTGGATGCACTTTTCACCATTCTCTCCACAGTTTTCACCATCACAGAGACTGAAGTGTTTGGAAACTAAAAAAAAAATCACACAAATTTGTTTAGAGATAGCAAGACACTTAAATGCCTTAAAGTGCGCATAGGTGTGCAGTGTTCCTGGCTACTCATAAAACTAAAATAAAAAGGTATTGAAGAAAAAAGGTGTTCTTGAATTCAACGTATCACAATAGTTAACAAACTGCTTGCTGATCTGGGCAAGTGGAGAAGAGGGGATTTCTCTGCAAGATGCCTAAAACGTGAATGGGATCAAGTATCTGGTCCAAAACATGTAAATAAGCCACATTTAAATGAGTTGTTGCAATAAGTGAAATGGTCCAGTAAAACAGATCATGTAGTGTAAAAATAAAAAAAAGCTGTAGTACAGTTATAAATGTAAATGATTCAAAGTTCTGTTTTCAGTCTGTAGCTTATTTTTACATTCCTGTTTAAACAGAAGGGATGAGTACATGTGGCTACCAGAATGCTCCTGATGACAATATTCCAGGCATTTTCCTACGCGATCCCCATATTCTTATGGATTTATTTGTTTAGAGAGTTAAAGGCCAAGCTGTATATAATTAGAGTAGCCAGACCGAGGCATGCCAGGATTGTGTTGTCATTGTTTAGCGTCCAGATGGATTCTGCTGCTCTCAGTTGTTTTTTCCACTGTACTCGAGCGTGATTTGCCTCAGCAGCAGTCTTATTTTTAACACTTAAAAGGCAGCAGTACCCCAGTGGTTACGCAACCAAAAATAAAACCCACTGGTTTCCTTTTTTGCTTTGTCGGTACACATATCCTTTTGTCCTTTTTCTGTCTTGTGTATGTTTTTGCTCTTAGTGCCTTGTCTCATTCTTCCTGCTGTCTCTCCACTTCTCAAACCCAAGCCCATTTTAGTCTTTTAATTTTCTTTTCACTTTTCTGAAAATGTGCATTTCCTCCTTTTTCTTAGGCGCTAGAATGTCTGTCTTCTCTCTCCACCCACGTTTTATTCTTCTGAAAACTCCAATTTGCGTGAAATTATGCATTACCCAAGATGTAGACAGTCTTTAGAGCAGGCTGTCAATCTGCAGCAGCTAAAAACACTCAAAATTGTCTGAAATCATCAGAGATGACAGTAAGAGTAGAAAAATACAAGTTTAGTCCTTTTTATTATTTTTCGTCTCCTCTTTGACTTTTAAGATGTGACTTTGAACAAGCTTTTGCTTTTCTCTTCCCAGTCATTAAGTGATAGAATGAAAAAAGTACAAGGAAGCAGTATCAGTTTAAGCATTTTTTCCTGTGTTTGCTCGCTCATCTTGCTGCCCTTAGCCAAGCAGAAGCTGGAGGACCGTCTAGCAGCTGCAGCCCGAGAGAAGCTTGCCCAAGCTGCCAAAGAGTCCAAGGAGAAACAGCTACAGGCAGAGAGGAAGAGGAAGGCAGCGCTGTTTCTGCAGACCCTTCGCAGCCCAGTCCCTGGGGAGCCTGAGGCCAAGAGAGCAGAGCTAGAGTCTTATTCTCAGCTTGAGGTAAGCATACTGTAGATGATTGTGAATAGTTGTTTTAGTGTATATATATATATATATATATATATATGTATAGATGCATTATTTCAGACAATATTTAAGTAATTATTTTCTGTTTTTTAAGAATACAAGATGGTTTTGTTTCTGGAAGTGTCTTTAACATTACACCTGCAGCATAAAGCAGCCTTGTCATTTTTATAACCAGACAACTCCAGCATCAAATCAGGCAGCAATCCACCTTGGAAACAGAAAGCCCCAACACCCCATCCCCACCCCCCAACCACCACCGACATATATAGTTCGCTTCAGCGTAAATACATGAGTATACATTAGAAGTAGTTCTAAAACACTTACTAAATATTAGTGTTTATCTGCTTTTATTGGTATTTTTTTTTCAATAACAAAAATCCTCAATATAAATAAATGAATATAAACCTATTTTAATCTAGTTCAACAGCAACAAAACAGCACATAGAGAAAAGTAGTCAATAGAAGCTTGAGCTTATTGAGCCTTCACGTTTTTTTTACACACACCATCTTACATTGGTGATCTTAGTCCTTACACTCCCAGCAGGTCCCTGAGGTCCAGTGATCAAAGCCTACTGGTTGTGCAGCACCAGGCTAAAGACCAAAGGTGACAGATCATTTGCTGCTGTGGCCCCCAGACTCTGGAACTCTCTCCCCCTGAGCCTGAGATCAATGGACTCAGTGGTCTCCTTTAAAAAGCAGCTGAAGACTCTCTTGTTCAAGCTGGCTTTTGTGTGACCTTCTTCACCACTCTCTCTTTATTCGGCTCTCCCCACCTATTCCACCTTCCTCAGGATCCACTGATTTCCCTCTTATCTATTCACTCTCTCTCTTTCTTAACATTTTTTAATCACAAGTGTCTATTTTTTGCTCATTTAAAATATATTTTTAATCATTTTCTAAATTATTTTTTACAGTTTAACTTTTTTGTTTTTGTGAAGTGCCTGGTGATTTTTTTCTTGAGAGGTGCTATAGAAATGAGCTCTTCTTCTTCTTCTTCTTCTTCTTCTTCTTTAAAATGGCAGCATCTAGAAGACCAATATTCTACAATGACAATCAAAGTTTGGAATTGATTTTTCAAATAAATACAATTCAAATTCCTCATTCAATGTGTTTCACACATTAATCCCTCAAACTGGTGTACATCTATTTAAAGCAACACTAATCAGTTTAGAGTTATTTAACCTATTTCTTTAAAAGTGAGGTTCATTGAACATAGGAATCAGTTGTTAATCAATTACCACTCTCAGAAATCTGATTTCATGTATTTTTTTCTTGGTGAACAGCTTATAAAATATGAAAGAATAGATTGAGGATTAGTTTAGCCTCTCTTATGATTCTGCTCTTTTTGTTCTTCTTCTTCATTGTTTGTCTCTTGAGTGACAAGATTGTTCCTAAATTACTTAACACCATCTGCCTGTTTGTAAACTAATACCAGGGGAAATGTTGGTGTTAGATGTAGAAATTGAGCACTGATGGTAAGAATTTGAGTTTTTTGGGTGCTAGTCTGAGCTCAGTTTGATGCGCTATAGTGTGATCCGAAAAGTTTAGTTCATGTATGGTCTTCTATGAGCTAATTATGTGCTTCATGGGGTTATTGAGGCTATTTTCTCTCTGCACAACTGTTCACAAAAGACAAGAAAGGGCAGAATTGAGCTTGAGGGTCTCACGTAATAAAATTGGCTTTGACGAGCTCTAAAGACAAAGCAGAAAAACAGTTGGGAGTGCTGTAATTTTCCTGATTTTAACCAAAACATCTCAACGGCCCTTCACTTGCTCAAAAAAGACATGAAAAACAACTGTCCTCAATTGTGTCTCCAAAAGACTAATATGTAGAGCATTATAATAAGGTAGTTTTAATTTCCAGACACATGTTTAATGTGTTACTAATGTGATTTTGTCAAACTACTCTTGACTACTCTTTAGGACTTCATTTAGGAAATGTTTTCTGGAGTCTTTCTTGTCCCATCCCCTGGGGGAGCTGCAGACACAGCCACGCTCGGGAACCTATTGGGTGGTTTAACCTCCCAAACCAACCCCTTAATGCTGAATGTCAAATAGAGAAGCATTGGGTCCCAATGATTTTTTTAAGTTTTCGGTGTGATCCGACCGGTATTTGAACCCCCATCTCCCAGTCCCAGGGTGGACACTCTTATCACTAGGCCACTGAGCTGCTCATCTTCTAGAAAGCGGAAATTAAGGGAGACCGATATATCGAACCAATATTTACTGTTTTTTATGCCTCTGCTGACATTTGTCCTTAGTAATGCCAATTTAAAGACAGGCATTACTGAAAAACCCGCTCTACCTACAGAGCTACTGCTGCCTCAGGTCCTAAAGTTTGAGAATCTTAAAGAGTGATGTGCTCCCTCATATTTGATATGTATTTTTAAATACTTGTACGGACACCAAACTATGCAGGTGACATGGGCTAGCTGTATATCAGCTCCTTTTTCTGTGTCAGTTGTGTTCGCCAGGGTGGAATATTGTCACCTATTCTTTTTAGCTTGGATAGCATGGATGAACTGTCTGGTAAACTGAGAGAGTGCAGGACCGGCTGTATGATGGGAGAGAATCTCATCAATCATCTCATTTATACTGATGATTTGGTAGTCTTTTCTCCCTACAGTGCTGGTTGCTTAGAGTGTGCTCTAACTGTGGGATGAAGTATGTCATTAAATTCAACTCCAGGAAAAGTGTTGTGAGGATTGCTAAAACTAAAGAGGATCTGAGGCAAAAATTTCCCTCCTTTTATTCGGCTGATCGGGTTTTAAAATTGGTATAAAGTGAAATACTTGGGCCACATAATCAGTGATGATTGATGATGATGATGATGATGATGATGAAGATGGCAATGCTGCAAAATGTACACTCAAAGGTTCTGTATAAAGATGATTAAAACAGAGCTTTTTAGAGTTTATTGTGTTCTCTACATGGCCCATTTATGGTAAACGTGTGTGTGTGTGTCGGTGAGGGGGGGGGGGGGGGGGGGATGCTAAAGGTGGCTTTTAGAATACTTTTAAAACGGCCAAGGTTTAACAGTGCAGGTCATGTTTGCTATTCACCACGTCTCTGGTTTAGAAGCTGTAAGGGGAAATTTAATGTACAAGTTTTTGTGAAGGTTGAACATTTCTGCTAATAAGATAGCTTTTAGCTTCACCAAAATTTAGTGACACCAGATGTACATCTTTTTATTGGATTACATTTTTATATGTATTAGAAATTTTCACTGCCTGTAATGTTTATGTATTTTATTTTATCTTTATGATACTTTTACTTTATCTTTTATGTACTTTATCTTATTTTATACTGGACCAATGTGTCTAATAATTAATTTCATAATAAAATAATAGTAACAAGTAGATCAAATATAGATTTAAAATTTTAGACCATTTTGACATTTGTCTTTTTTTTTACATTTATTTAGAGAGACAGATTTAAACCAACAGTTTAATTTCCTCTGAAAGTGCTTTATAAATCATCTTAGTGAGGCAACTTTCAGTGCAATTTTTGTTATTTTTATGTATATAAACAATATAACTGATTGAGATGTAATGAGGGGTTTGTAAAATACAGTTGGCAGGTGGGAAAAAGCTGCATTCATTATCACAGCGGGGGCAGTGAAATAATAGTCATGAATTTAAACAGAGCAAAGGAAACATCAGTCGTGGTATATCTTATGAACGGTTGGTCCACACTCATCACTATCTCAACCTTTTGACGTCAATGGTAACATTTCTTGGTAATTTATTTTTAAATCCATATAGAACTTTACTTGGAGGCAAGTCTTTAATCAAATGACATATTTAATAAAAAAGTTTCATGTGGAATAAGTTACCAATAAACCGCAATTTAAAATAAAACATCAAATGGCAAATTCACTTAAATGGCTGCCACTAAAGACTGCTTTACAAAATTCAGTCTCGTTTGTAATTTATTAATTGATCTAAGTAATAGTCTGTTTGTCCTCCAGAAAGTTAAAGCTGTTTAGATTGTCTTGTTTTTAACATTCAGCTTTGGAATCTGGTGTGTACCACAAAAAGTAATGTTTCTAAAATGAAATAGAACATACAGGTTTAAAAAGGCAGCATGCCTAAACAAATCTGGTCATTTTTAATATTTATGGATTTCAAAGTATAAATAAGCATATACATGTCCATGTTCTGGTAATCTGTTAAAGGGATACTACGATACATTTTCATATTTTTTTTGTAATTTTCTTGAGCTAGTTTGTGCCAAAATGGCCCTTTACATGGTTGACAAAAAGTCACTGAGACCCCTACCGTCCTCTGTGGCCAGAGTACTGCATTTGCAATTTCAGAGTGCCTTGGTCAGCACCTGTTATACTTAGAATAAACCTGGCACTGCAGTCTGCTTCCAGCATGTTTCCTGCATGTTTTTAATCATGAACACAGTTGATTTGTTTCATTTAATAATAAGCCGCTCCTGTAGACACTAATGAGGGCTGGGAAGACATTTCAGCTGTTAAATTAAGGTGTTAAAAAGACAAACACACACCGAGAAGATAAGTTTCGCTTTTGCTTTGACCAATGAAATAATTAACGAACACTAGGGGGTGCTAAAAGCAAGCAAAACAGCCAAGTTTGTGTTGGTTTAAACACTATTGGCTCCTTTGTTTTTGTAGATAAATTAATCTAATCTTTGTGTTTGTTTAGCTGTCAGCATCAATAAATGTCTTTTAAACTGGAGGAATTAAAATGGATCCAATAAGGTTCATCGAGCCTGAGCAACAATACACAAGCTTAATGTTAATTAGTCGTCACAGATCCTGGTCTAAATGTTTCCTAAAATATGTTTTTACTATAAAAAATGGTAAGACGAATTTTGTCTAACTTCATAGAGGGCTTTTTGCAGCTGAAACATTTTTTGTGGTCAACTTGCACCTCATCAGCCTTCTCAGTTCATCTCCTTTTCAGATGCTCATGTGTCAGGCGTGTGCTATGAGGTTTAACCAA